TTTCCTTCAACAATAGGTTGAGAATTTGGAAGAGGAAGATAAACACTACACGCTGAATTACTGCACTCCAAAATTTCCTGAGAGAGTTATTACCAAAATGGTTAGGGTAAATCAGGTTGGTTTGGGGAACTGAAAAGCGTCAACAGCATGGATCTTTGTGGAGACAAAGAAGTGCAGGAAGAAATTGAGGATATTGTCCAAAGTAAATCTGGAGTTAAAAAAGTCTATCCTGAAGAAGAAAAGGAAAGAAACTGGCAAATGTAAATTATAAATAGAACACTCTATCAGATAATTCTAATTTGTGCAACTCAGTTTTGCGGAATTTGTCCCTGCCCTTCACCAAGTGATCTTGAAAATGGTACGTTCCTTTTAAGTGCTCAGGTTCCTTATCAGCAAAACAAGGATATAAAATACATTACTCTGACAGTGAGCTGAAAAGACCTTTAATTTTTGATCCATAAGTAATGACACTAATCTACTGCTATTAAAGAATGAGAAATTACTTTGTTTTTTACTATTTGGTATGCAAATGCATAGTACTCATAACTGAGAAAAGTTCCATTGTGTATGGTACTGTACAAAAGCATAGAAAGAAAGAAGTTCTAACACTGAAAGGTACATCCATGAAAACTTAGGAGACAAATAAAGCTACACAGCAACTTCACAAACAACCTGCGCTTAAAATTGTACACCACGTATAAACACGTGCCATAGTATTTCCTTTGTGCTTGAGGATGAGCAACTGTCGTCCAAATAAAAGCAGGGTGGAATTAACTTTGTTCTTAATTTCAGAACTGTTATTTGGCAAGAAAACAGACACTGGCATTTTGAAAAACATAGACCGAGAGACCACAGAAATCATAGGTAATGAGCCTTCAAGAGACTTGGAAGGGACTACAGGAAAGCTAAGGAGGAACTTTTCATCAGAGAAGATAGTGATAGGAAAAGGGGCAGTGGTTTTAAACTGAGAGAGGGGAGATTTAGGTTAGATATTAGGAAGAAATTCTTCTCTATAAGGGTGGTGAGGAACTGGAATGGATTGCCCAGGAAGGTTGTTGATGACCCATCCCTGGAGGTTTTTAAAGCCAGGTTGGATGAGGTTTTGTGCAACCTGGTCTAGTGGCTCCCTGCTCATGGCAGGGGGGTTGGAACTGGATGATTTTTAAGGTCCCTTCCAACCTTAATGATTCTATGATTCTATGTTACTCAGACCATGAGGAAGCATGCAAGGTCTGGAGGACTTAATAAATTTCTGGAGACAGCATTCTTCTTTCTTATTGAAGCTATTTCACAGGGATTTTGGAATCACAAGGGTAAGAGGATTTTCAACATCTCTCCCCTGTGTGCTCCAACTTCAGCAGGTTTTGATTTAGCAGTTAGTCTGATCCTCATTTAGGTTCCTCCTCTTTTGCAATAACATCACACAGGTTCGGATGAATTCCAAAATTTTTTTTAAATAAATAATTTAATGGTCTGTTATATAGATAATTTATGCAGAAAATACTTTCAGTCTCATGGGCAGCTATGATGCCACACTGTGATTGGAACTAATAACTATTACTAAGATAAGATAATTTCATTTAACATTAGGAAACCATCTGGTGCCTTCTTTTCTTTTTGTTTAACATGCTGTCACTGTTTTACTCAATACACTTTCATTAAAACAAGACAAAGCAACTAAGGAAAAACACACACAGATGATCAGTTTATACTCCCTATCATCTTTCTGCAACCTCCCCCAGAAGTCATAGTCTAATAGATTTTTGAAGTAGGAGGGGAATTCTAAAATTTCATCTGAGCTCCTGTATAATTAAGGCAATCTATTCCATGTTGTATCTATTTTCCTCACAATGGCTGCATGTGATAGATGAATCCAGCCCATTCCTAAATAAACTGCTCCAGTGGTTAATTACTCTTACTTTTAATAATATGTGCCTTATTTCTAGGCTGAATTTGCCTAAATTCAGCATTGGATGTCATTATGCCTTTTTTTTTTTTTTTTTTCTAGATTAAACAGTCATCTGGTGTCAAAAAATCTCATTCCCATTAAGTCATTTACAGACTGTGATCAAGTCACCTTTTAACCTTCTCTTCAGCAGATTAAACAGATTTCCTTTAGCCTGTAACTATAACGCTTATTTCTGGACCTGTAGTAATTATCTCACCATTGATGAATTCTTTCCATTTTAAACATATTTTCTAAGTGTGGTCACCAGAATAGGACAGAACAGTTTTTATCAAAAAGACAGTGTTAGTTCCTACTTCATACTCACTTCCATATATGTATCAGAGAACATAATACATATTATTAAAAACCTTTCCTTAGCTTACTGATAAAACAGAAAGTATTCTGAAAATAATTTAATAAGTTAATATTTCTCCCTTTTTACACACAAAGCAGAAAATATACACAACTCTTCTGCCTTTTCTATACTACCTATACTTTTTTTGTACTACCTATATCCAGTGTAATTTCTGTCACTTAAGATGTTTTTCTGATAATTTTTATCTTTCTTTATCAGTTTCCTGTTCTTAAGTGCTTTTTATATTATTATTTGGCAGTAGTAACTATGAGTCTTTCAGCTGTAGCAGTACTTTTCAGGCAATTTCACTTACAGTCTTACTTTAAAATATTTTTTTTGCATTTTAATTTTCTTCACACAAGTAAATTATATTCATGAAGCAATTTGCTTATACAAAACAGAAGTATATTTCACAACCATATAAATACTATGTTGACCAGACTGATAGTATTCTATTTTCTGATAACTTAACCTCATTAGGTAAAAAGACCTAATTTTACCAGAAAGTTTACTCTAACAGATTGACTGTATGTAAATGGTTTGGTTTATCTTTAATGGAATATATATTTAATTAAATTGTATTCCTTATACAGGTATCTCTAATGAAGGGTGTTTACATCAAGCAAACTGTAATTTTCAGCTGGAATTTGCTTTGGACACTGAATGAATCAAATGAGATTATGCTGTTTCCATTTCCCTTTATTTATTTATTTTGGGGTAGCACTTTTTAAACCACTTTCTAACCACAATCTCTTCACATGTAAACTCTAAAAAATGTTTGTTCAACTGAATAAACCTTTATTTGACCTAAAAAGTATCAACTGCATAAAGAAATTTTGTGTTTCCTTCTGATTTTTCTTTTCATTCGTAGTGAAGGTGAATTTGTTAATGTACTAAAAGCAAAACCACTTTGTGTGGTCTGACACCATAAATCTGTTTTGTATAAGTCTAAATTATTTGAACTGCAAACAAAATCTTCTGTGCAGGATGTGAAACTGCTATTGCAGTAAAAGAAAAGTGATTTCTATTTCTTGGATAAAATATACTATGTAAACACAAAATATAGCTTCATAAATAAAAACAGTAGAGGAAAGAGAGCAGAAGGGATGAAGTGGGCAGAAAAGGGAGCAGTACATCAATGTGCAGATGGGGAAAACATCCAGAAAAAGAGAAATAATCTCTGTGTAGTTCAAAACCCCGCAGACTAGATGCATGCAACAATGGAAAAAGAGTGAATAAAAGAGAACATAAAGGTGGGGAGAAATAAAACTAAAAGTTAAGAAGATGCAGACAAAAGTGCTGCTAGAAACCAGAAGGCACTGTTAATTTAAACTTACTTCCTAATATTTTAGAGTCCACAGTTCAAATGTGAAAGACAAGAAGTTCAGAGCTTCCTGCCAGACAAAAATAAAATTAAAGCCCTGTAGTGTTTTTCTGGTAAATAAATAGATACCTTGTTTCATCTCTTTATGTCCAAAGACTTATAAAACCTCACTCTTCAAACTTTCCGTGTTGCTATTTTGAAGAGCTTCATCTATTTCCTGACATCAAGACCTCTAATTGATTACTTACTTTTATTAACTTCATCATTTTCTTTTCTAGCAAGCATTCCGGGGTACATAGTCAGATCCTTCCCAAAGTATGCTTTAGGTTAAGCAGCCTAGAGCATTCTGACATACTGAAGTTGAATTGTTTTTTATCTCCAAGCAGAAGCTGAAAGCCATATAAGTATTTTGAACATTTAAAACTATGTATACACTTCAATTGGCTCCAAGTACATAAGATTAAATAGTGAATAGCCTTGATAACTAAACAATTTTTTTACTCTCTGAATCTGATTAAATGAACTAAACACACATTCTTCAATTTATGCCCCAGTTTATGAGTTACAACTGGACCTCAGTTTGTCCGATTTCAAATGCCAATGTAACAGCGACTTCAAAGCTTTAGGCAACAGCATAACAACTCATAAAACCATAATATACTAGCTAAAGTTTTCAAAACATACCAAAGATCAGACAAATATTGTTAAGCACCTCTCTCTTCAGAAGATCCAAGACACATCTGTTCTATCAAACACAATGAGTTACACAAAAAAACATCCCCTCTCCCTTCAAGCATAATTTTCACCAATTTAAGCCCATTTAGATGCTTGATGAAACTAAGCTTTCTCTCCAATCCAGCAGTATATTCCATTGTATTTCAAACTGAATGATCTTAATAAGAGGCTAAAAGAATAGAAGAAAAAAAAAAAAGGAAAAAGACGAAAAGACTGAGCTTTTTATATGGAACCCAAATTTCATTAAAGTTTGTCCAAAAGGTTTTTCTCAGTCCTTAGTGCAGACCAGTTGCTTGAACAAAGACTATGATTAAGTATAATGTTATTGAACTGATACTCTTAACTTCTTATAAAAAAAATAAAAGTAATTCTTTTACAGGCTATAGATCTGTCTGAGCAAACTGTTCAGGTTTCTTCACCTACTCTACTGCTATAATTTCAATCATCAAAGAAATTGCCTTTCATTTCCCATGAGCACTTTAGCATTGGCTTACTTTGCTGTCTTGGAAAACCTCAGAAAAGTGGTTATCATTTGCTTTCCAAAGCGGTGGGAGAAAGTGTTCCCCAGCAAGACGCACCAGCTTTCACCCCCAGACAATCAGGATACAGGTTCTTCTCAAACAGAATATAAACCTTACCTTGAAGAAAGTCATGGTGGCTCCATCTTCAACTGCCCCATACTCTATCTTTGTCTGCTTGGCCAAATCATCAGCAGAATCAATAGGGGATTCCATGCGTTCCACTGTCAGAAAGGCGGCTAAGTTAGCAGTGTACGAGGAAATGATGATAAGTGTGAAAAACCACCAAATGCCTCCCACTATCCTGGTGGAGAGGGCTTTGGGCATGAGCTCAGAACCTAACGAAAACCAGGGGAGAAAGGTGAAACCAATGCACAGAAAAAAAATTAATAAGTGTTCAGCACTTTTTGCCACAGTGGAGAGAAGGAATCACTGTGCAAAAAAACCTTTAAGCCACAGGCCTACATGTACTGCTTGTACAAACACACACAACTGAAATGAAAAATAAGAACTGATTACATTTATAAAGACAGATCATTTTGGAGCTGTGGGAATCAAAAGATAGTAATGGGAGACTCAATGATCAGTGCCTTTTTAAAATTTATAAATATATCTATCTATCTGTCTAGATAGATAGAGATATATATATAGCACAATGTGAATAATGCAGTTACTACAACTGGTTTTCCAGAAAAATCCTAGCTGGACTGAACCTCAATTAATACTACTATTGAAGCACTTAAACAGTTCTTAATCTTTGAGTAAATAAATAAACTATTGATGAAAGGACCAGATATGAAATAAAGTATTTCTTGTCTGAAATACAAAATCTGAAATCTATTATAACTGTGCTTTTGGCTTTTGCATTTGTATTGCTGTAAAGGGTTATTCATTGACTACTTAGATAAAAATATTAACATCTCCCATCTCTATAGTTAGCCCCACAGTTTCATATACACATGGGTGGCTATGCCACACACTTAATTTGGTAAAATAGCAATGAAAATATTAGACTGCTAAGTATAATATAAATGAAAATACTAGACTGCTAAATATAAACTAGATAACGATAGATTATAATGCATTGCTGGAGTTGCCTGCTCATGGCATTAAGGAATGGAGGGGGTGACAGACACTGTGTAGTAATTTGCATAATTATTAATGCTAATTTAGAGTCTAATGAGGCAATTTGAAGTACATAGGCTCCTCTTGTGCCTAATTACTACAAATAGGAAAAAAGAAATAAAACTCAATGTAAGTTAAAACCACAACTATTTACTATAAATGACTGGGTATGGATTTTTTCCATAATGTTATAATTGAATGGAATGAAATTTCTAATTTTGTCAAATAAACAATTTCAAGCTTCACTGTAAGAACTTTACACAAAATCTTTTAGAACTATCCAGGAACTTGTTTTCAAAGAAACAATTTTACCATATCCACTATACCATTGTACCAAAACCATCACTTTTTGTTAATTGGTCTTTATTTTTGTTTTTTAAATCTCCTGGGTAAAATGGAATGAAGGCAAGATGGACTATTTTATTACTGTTTAAATTTTAGTGTTCATATTGAATTATTTAAGGAACTCGTCCAGCAAGGTAACACACCTTCATATAAATGAAAGTTTATGCCAAACTTCCAACATTAATGCTAAGAAAAGAATAGAAAGGGGGGGAAAAAACCCAAAAAAACAACCAAACAAAAACAAAACAAAACAAACCCAAAGAAAACCAAATAAAAGGA